TGCAAACATTTTGGTGCCACGTTTTCCTTTACGTAAAACAAGAAAGGCCATAAAGGGATCCGGCTCTTCGGACAACATCTGGCCTCTACAATAATGCCTGGGTTTTGTTCTCGGGAAATGATAAATTGTATCCCTCGTCTTAATTGGATGTGATTCATGTGTCTCTCCATACACAACATAAAACTATCGTCTGAAAAGACAAAAAGACCAAATATCCCCAATTCTTTGCCCAGTTATCTATTTAATTCCACTGACCACTAAAGTAGATAGACAGTTGATGTCTGTTTTAAATGGCTGTCTAAACAGCAATGTCGGCTATGATTGTGGTTCTATGTAGTTCTGTAGGCTGTTGGAGGCTTGCCAGTGACAACATCTAGTAATGTCAGTTATATAAATCATGAAAAGTGTAAGAATGCTAGGTCACGTTTAATAAGGCTCGTCACAATGTTGGTAGTGCCATTATGTGATTAAAATTGATCGCGTGAGCAACTGCTGATCTGTTGGTGACTTCTGCTACCATCAATGAATAACTGCATTTCTAATGTCGGACTGTTTGTTAGCACTTCGGATGGCTACCGTATGCTTTAATGCGTGTCTATGTTAGATATGCTGAGACAGCAGACTGTCAATATTTCTACAAGGGACTGATAAACATTCTTTGTGTTTTTCGTTGGCACAGGAGCGGAGCAAAGATGGGGTCACCCGTTTGCTGTGAAGCTGAAACTAAGACTACCAAATTACCAGACTACCTCTTCCAACTCTGGTATGCCACTGACCACAAGTCAGCCTCGACTTTCCCTCGCGTACCCGTCCAGCCCCAAGTATCTCTTGCGGTCGTTTGTAGCAAGGATTTTCTACTTGCCTTGCTGTGAGCATGGCGACCATGCAATGCACCTTATCACATACTTGGTTCTTTTACGCTGCTCTGAGAGACTCCTTATCTATTTTACTGGCTGAACAGCGCAACAGTCAGTATTGCTGAAGGTGGCTTAGTTGAAGATGCTATTTAAAGCCGGTCAGACTGTTGGTATATAATGTCCCTTATTCAAACATACGTCTTGTAATATGTTTGTTATTTGAAGCAATATAGGCAGGCCATCAATATGGCCAATTTTCTGAACGCGGTTTCTGGGACCTCTCCACGGTGATCCTCATCCACATGGTGGCATTTTGTGCCATCGGGTGTTTATCGCTTGTGTGATGTCCTGGTGGGGTAGAAAGTCAGTCAGTCAGTCAACATACGTGTTGTGAGTAACTACTGCTTATAAAGGTTTAAGCTCAGGCCATCCTTCCACTTGGTGTCGAAGTCTGGAAATATTCAAACACAACTAGAGAATAATATATTCTTTAATGAGAAGGATGAATGCGATTGGTTATAACATAATTCTTTGTTTAGAAAACTGATGCAATTAGTTGGATTTCAATCTGTTACACTACATTTAGAAAGGTACGACTAGTGTATCAAAATGCATTCTCTCTCTCAATCTCTCTCTCTCTCTCTCTCTTTCTTTCTCTCTCTCTCTCTCTCTCTCTCTCTCTCTCTCTCTCTCTCTCTAGCTGTCTTTGTTTTTCATTCAGTGCTTCCCAGCTGCACCTGACGCTGCTACCGCCACACCGGAGCTTCCCGGCGCCCCCTCCGACAAATTTAATCTAAGCGTTGCCTCGCCCCCATCCCCCTTTCCTCCTCAAAACTGGGTTGTGGGGGTAGGAAGGTTATTGTATTAACTATCTTTCAACGCTGGGACCTTAGGCTCGTGAGGATCCCTATTTAAACAATGTTATCCCCCGGCTAAAATTACTTGAATAGCCATGCAAAAGAACATAACATGTTTCTAAAACGAAGGAGACATGAACAAATTGATTCAATCATGAGAAACAATGAAACAGAAAGCCAGCCAGTTTGTTCAACTGGAAAGCATTATTTTTAAATTTACAGTATGTGCTGGGACAGCTGTGAAGAGGCGTGATGTGTAACTGATTAGGTGAGGTATTTAAACTGCTGTCGCGAACGGTGGCTATCTGTTGTGGACACTTTTTTTGGTTTGCGAAGCAGACAATCAGCTTAATAACATTAGTTTTATAGAAGGTAATAGTGAACGGAAGAACACAATTATTCTCATCAGTATCCTGCTACAACTGCACATAGAAAGCCTTTTTTACACCAGTTTTGAGAGGCCCTACTTATAACCATGAAGTGCTAGATAATGACAGGTACAAGGTAAGCGAACTGTGTATTACACGAGACAAACAGTCGTATTTCAGCGGACACCCTACTCTGGTAAGAAAATGACTCATTACAACTGAGCTTAATTTACACTGTCAATTACACTGTAATTTGTCAATTACACTGTCAACTTACAGACGTACACACATATCAGGGTGGATAGTTTGGTCTCATATGCCAGTACGTCGATCTAACTTACCAGAACAATTAAAATTAGGTGCTGAAGTCGGAGGCAAGTCTGCTGCCTTCAGAAGACCTACAACAAACAGGAAATAGCCTTTCAGATCAGAGGCTACCAATGTTACCGATCTAAATGGAAAGACAGAAGGAAGGGCGAAATACTAACCCTTGTCAAAGATAACATATTTGCATGCCAGACTGAAACATACATGGAAGTGGCAGAGTACCAGATTCTTCAGCTCAAGACAGAAAACACAGATTTCCAACTAATCAGCTATTACTGTCTGGGCCACCGCCCTCAGGCACTGGATACATTAGTAGTAAATAAAAGAATGATTGTATGTGGACATTTTAGGTCACCCAGAAAGCTAAGGCTATCATGACATGGATCAGAGGGGAGAGAGACTGGAGGACTGGCAGGATGAAAACAGATTCATCCTCATAAATAAGCCAACCGACCCACCAAAATTCTACTCAAGAGCAGGGCATACCACTTCTGTGCCAGATCTAGCCTTTCATTTACCAGACATGAAATAGGATATTGCTAGAACTGTCAGGAAACAACTAGCAGGCAGCGATCACTGCCCAGTCTTTCTAACGATAGAAAACCAGTCTTTAAAGAAGAGCAGCACTCTACCAAGATGGAATTACAAGAAGGCAGACTAGAAACTATATCGGCACCTTACAAGTGTTCTGGGCTAAAATATAAAAACAAATAACATTGCCGACAAAGTAGTAAAAGAGTTTAGCAAATGTATATTGCAGGCAGCCATAGATACAAAACCAAGAGGTGCACATAAGCTATATAAACCATTCTGTATTTGTGACCTAGAACATTTGCACAATGATATGGAAGCCGAAAGCAAGAAAGCCGAAATCAAACCTTGTCAATAGCTGTTCAACAAATACCAACAGGACAAGCCAAGCTGCAGGCTAGAAGAAAATGTTGGCCAGAAAGAAAAAAAAATGGTCTCTAAACTTTGAAAGAGACACAAGGAAGATGTGAAGGCTGGTAAAACAAATTAATGACGAGAGTACAGGGAGAAAGGCAAATACTTCAAAATATTTAGAAGGAACCATCCTAACAAAACAAACAAAAAACAATGATCACTTTGAAGATTTATTTGTTGAAGACAGCAAAATTGATGTCAGTCCACCGAAACAGTGGGAGGTACGAGAGAAACGACAATACTCAAGACAGAACGATACAATTCCCGTGGTAATGGAACACCATTTACGTTTAGCGAATCAGAGTTAGCAATATGAAAGCTGAAAATGGGAAAGTCGCCTGGAATTAATGGAATATCCATCGAAATGATCAAGAACCTAGGGACAAGAGCCAAAACAAAACTAATGCAGATTTTTTATAATTGTTGGGCCAGTGGTAACGTTCCACAGGTATGGAGATAAGCAACCATAATACCTCTCCTTAAACCAGGAAAAGACAGAACCAATGTCTCCAGTTATAGACCATTCAGCCTTACCAGCTGTCTCTGTAAAACAATAGAACGCATTGTCAACTTTAGACTCCAATGGTACATGGAAAGTGAAAACAGCTTTACGCCGCAGCAGGCAGGCTTTAGACAATGCTACTCTACAGAAGACCAGACAACTTACTAACCTCAAGAAATTAAAGATGCCTTCAAAGAAAAAAAAACCTAATGCTTGTAGCATGGGTAGATTTGAAGAAAGCTTTTGACAAGTTCTGGAAAGAAGATGTCATGAAGAAACTGAGAAACTACAAAGACATAGGAACATGTACAGATGAGTGAAACCATACTTTGAATAACAGAAGAACCCAGTAAATATAGACGGACATAAGAGCAAGAAAGTCTTGCTGCTCCATAGTGTTCTCCAAGGTGATGTCCTGACCCCAACACTGCTTCTGGTCTATATCAACGGGGTTGCATGGTCTGAAAACGCATGCCGGAAGAATGAAATGCGAGGGTGCTCCACGCAGTAAACGCCGTCGCAAAACTACTCCTGTGGTAGTTTCTGAGTCGTTAGGGAACGACGGGCAGGGTGTTACCCACTCGCCCGGAGAGGCCCATGACGTCGACTGTATCTAAGACATCCTTTCCTTGTCGCCTAGTAATAGTAATGTGATAGGAGTCGCCATGGTCTAGCGACTAGACGCTCGTCTGTGGATCGAAAGGTCGTAGCTTTGGGTCCTCAGGGGCCAGACTTTTTTTTCCCTTAAAAAATGACCTTGGCTCCCAGGTCATCCCAGCCCTGAAAGGGTACCAGGTACAGTCATGGGAAGTAAAGGCCGCCGGTGTGATGCTGACATCACCCACCAAGTGCCGTTTGGTCTATAAAATATAGGTCTAGCCCTATATACCCAATAGACCTGAATGCGTTGAATATGGTCTTTTACCTAATAATACGATAACACAGTGGACCGCGTATGATGATCATTACGATAATCCTTCTAATTTTCATTCACTAATGTTTGCAAATGATATGACAATGTTGAATCAGTCATGTTGTACTGATGAAGTTTTGTTGTATTGCCGTCAGTGTTAAATTTGTTAGACAACGAATACAAACAGGCAGGTCGGTTAACTGTATATCTATTTCTTTTTAGAGAATAAATATGAAAATCTCCGGAGCTGGGTGGATCGTAACACTGATGGTCGTGATAACGACAAGTGACAGCAAAAACGTGGTGTTTCTGCCCATGGATGCCTCAAGTCATTCTCGTACTCACGCCTTTGTGGCCGTAGAGTTGGCCAAGATGGGTCATAACGTGTGGCTGGCGCTTTCTTCAGCTATGTACAAAAGCAAGGTAGAGAATTACCCTGGAGTAACGGTGTTTACCTACGAGAGTGAACTATCTGAGCTCGATCTGATACACAGAATAGAGACTTCCGTTGGCAACGCCATTATCTCTGGAACTGACCCTGACTGGTCATGGCTGGACACAGTCCAAGACTATATTTGCGAGACATATTTTCAAGCAATGTCCCACAGAGGTTTAATTGATCATATAGAAAGCCTGAACCCTGATCTTATTATTCTAGATGGGTTTCCTGATGTCGATGAAAGAGTAGCCATCTCTTACAAGCTGAACGTTCCTTTTGCTGTTATGACTACTCTGTTTGCTCATACGCCAATACGAATGCCAGTCAATCCGACAGCAGAAGCATACAACAACCAATACATTCGCAATCAGGCGAATTTGTTTGAACAGATTATCGCTGTAATGAAGATAATGTCACTCAGTGTGTTTCATCTTTTCAATGACAGGGGGTACATGAGACAACTCATTTCAGCAGATTCAAATGTACCGCCTGCCAATGAGTTTATTAGTCAGGGCGAAGTCTATCTGATTGAATCTGACCCTCTTAATGACTATCCCAGAGCCACGGCACCCAATATAAAACTTATCGGAGGAGTGTGTGCTGGTCCATCTACAGCTCTAAAAGAACCGTTTAAGTCTTTCGTTGAGCAATCCGAAAAAGCTGGAGTTGGTGTCGCTGTTCTGTCGTTTGGTAGCATGTGTCTAAATCTTCCAGAAGCAGGTTCGAGGAAAATCGTGGCAGCGCTAAAACGACTGAAGCTAAACACCGATCTGGAGAGCTAACATTACCTCACCTGACCCGGACAAGATTCTGACGTCTACATGGATACCTCAAAACGATCTTCTGGGAAACAAAAACGTTCAAGTGTTCATAACTCACGCTGGAGCCACAGCATTTACGAGGCTCTCTACCATGCGGTCCCCGCTGTCTGTGTGCCACTTTTCTATGACCAACAATATAACGCAGATCGAGCTGTAGACAAAGGTCATTGCCTCAGTCTGGATATCATCAAGGCCTCCGTCGATGAGCTAGTGTCAGTTATAGAGCGGGTGATCGCGAGCAAAGAAATGAGGTCGACAGTTAGCAAGGCCTCAGAAATTTATCGGGAGTTGTACAAGGATCCCAAAAAAGGAAGCAGCGTTTTGGCTTGATCATGTGATGCGCTATGGAGGATCGTATATGAGATACAGCGGTCAAAAAATGCCCATGATTCTTTACATTCTTGACTACATTATAGCCTTTTTTGTGGGTGTAGCATGTACAATAACTGGGTTTCTAATTGCCTATTTGAGTAAGCAGATTGTCCATGTGTGTTGTAGAGGAAACAAACACCTAAAGAAAGAGTAGGTGTTAGATTGGTAATTAGTATGCTGAGGGATTTATAAAACGGAGTGAGGATACAGGACATAAACATAGAATGCTGAGGTGTTTAAAATTTGTTTGGATATCTTCTAAGATTTATCAGATGTCATTCTTTTTTAAAAGGGGTTGGGGTTGAGGGGGTGGGGGGAGGGTGAGATTAACTAATGGACCTTCAACCCCACCACGGTAACCTATGGTGCCATTTCAATGGTTTGAAATGAAGTCTGTCTGTAACCCATGGTTGTGGATTTCAAGCTGTACGATAGACATGGCCAATTCAGTTGGGGGGGGGGGGGGGCTGGAGGGGTGGGGGGGGGGGGGTAGGTGGGTCTTGTTGACATGTTCTTAGAATACTTGTTTCCATAGCAGGCGCACACACCGTCTTGAGGTGACAGGCTCGATTCCCGGCACGTTAACTATAGCTTTAGATTTTTATGGTCATTGGGTTCTATCTTTCTACTTCTTTCTAGGAGTGCCGATCAATACATTTTCTGTTATTTTATTATTACCACGACATGACACCTAGCGATAAACACATGGTGACGCAAAATGCCACCATGCCGACTAGATAAACTCCCGGGCCAGGTCTTAAAAACCTCCTACAACCCATAGGTTGTGTTATATTAGTGCCGTTGATAACAGCCGGAGATAGGCTTTACAATAACCAAAACCTGCGTCCCATATTTCGTATTTCAGGAGGTTGGGGGGGGGGGGGGGGGGTGGTCGGAATTCGGAGAGCTTCGCCTGTAGACTCCTAAAGTTTTCTCATAACCGGACGAAAGAATAGACTCTATGAAAACAGTCAACGGGCTAGTTAGAAATGGAAGAAATGGATCAAGGAGTTCGCAGATCGATAGCGAAGAACAACAAATACCGCATTGAAAAGGTCAAAACTGAGAGTATCATATGACGTGTACCCGAGATGAAATGGTGGTAAAGAAGAAACCAGGATACAGAGCAGTGTGCAAACGGAGGGGGGTAAAGGTTTGTGGGGTAATGGGGGGGGGGGGGTGAAGGCAAATAAACAGGGACAGCAAATCAACGCTTTCTTTAAATGATTTATTGACGCTAAAAAAGAATTTATTCGAAACGTAGACCTGTTTGTGCTTTCACTAAACCTCCTAGATGCTAATATATTTAGGCATTTCATCTTCGTATAATTCCTCAAGATTAAAAACTCTATCAAGATGAGCTAACGTTCTGCCGCAGAGTGCAAAATCATGTTTGGCCCAGTTTAGTCTTTCGGATTGCTTCTAGGTATTTCTCAAAACCAGACAGGTCGATGGCCAGTTTCCAATCCCTCGCACACTCAAGCAATGGATGAAGCGTCTGCGACTTTGTTGAATGTACCTTTAGAAATCTGCCCAGTCTTGAGGAAGCGCACTGGAGGGACGTTAGGACTGACCCTCGAGCTGGCCTTCCCCCTGGCTTTGTCCACAGTGTCCGGAAAGTCTTATAGGGCCTTAGTGTGGCCCCATCTGCATCGTCTCTGACCTAGAGCTTTTCTGCACGCGAACAATACGTATTCTAGCGTCTGCTTAGCTCTGTATATTACTTCAATGACGGGTCATTGGTGAAACGCCATTTGAATATTAACGCCTGATTGTAACAAATATAGATTGGTGATATTAAAGTGGAACATTCGCATCACAGCAAATACCATTCACCAAGCTCTGGCCACCACCTGCTCTTACTATGAAACTTGATGGTGAAGATGGAAGAAGAAATTAAAGTCAATCTTCGTTTCCAGATTGTCTGTAGATAGTCCATACTCACTGCAGTCTAACTGTTGAATCTATAAGTGTTTGGATCCTCCCCTCGGTCAATCTCTCACTGATTCCAGTGATTACTTTTGCCTGTTTGTGCTCTGTTAGAATCCAGTCAAATAGTATGACCATGTTGTTGCTGTAGCAAAGATCAGAGAATTTTTAAGACAGTGGTTTTTATGTACTGCTTTGACATTACATATTTCAATTATCTTTTCTGTTATGTGCATTATCATACAGAATGTGGTGGCACATGAAATATGAAACTCATTGGTAGGTAGAGTGCATGAGACGTATCGTCTGGCTTTGGTTTTCTATCATTCCGGTTGTGACGGGAAAGATGTTCTGTAATGACTTGCCTGATAATGACGATGATTGCTGTGATGGTGGTTGTGGTGATGATGACATGATAACAGTATCTGATTGCCACTTTTTCCAGCCCCATCCTTTCGTGCATTAACTGACTTTCACTGACATCTTCAACTGAGTTACGCCAGCTCTACTCATGAACAGTATGTTACTTTGTATGGATGTATGCTCATATTCATATTTTAACAAATGAAGAATGGCATGTCCTTCAAATGTCGAAAGTTTGTCAGCTGACAGTAATTTGATTCTTCTCCCTCTCCCATCGTAAGAGTACCCACGGTCTTTTTCAAGTATTTCTAGTTGCATATTTTTTAGCTCTGTAGTTCCCCATAAAGATTGTATTGCCTAAAAACAGTTCTACTCTGAAAGAGTGCCAGTAATACTCATTGGAAACAACAAAGCACATTCTTGTGGCAAACTGATGATCTACCTCACTGTTTGAGGTTAGAGATTTGAACAACGGATCCACATAATGGCACCTGGGTAGTGACCCATAAGTGCTCCGTTTTTCTTCGAACTCAAGTATGAGTCTGAAGAAGTTCAGCACAGTGCACGGGCGCAGAATCACCGGCGAAGGTCCTGAAGTACTTTGTGTAGATTTTGAACTCAAAATTTTGAATGGGCAGCGCCGGAAGGCTTCTCTTTTCAATGTCCAACTGGAAAGGCACTTTTTAACAATGACACGGGCGTCCATTCTCACTACTCAGAGACCATAATCATCATCATCATCATGTAGCAGGTCCTTTGCAGAACGTCGCTCTCAATACAGTCTGCCTGAAAGAAACTCGGTCTCTCGCCAGTTCTCCCGCCTCATGCACTGTCACACTCAAGGAGTCACTTATATCCTGTGCCCATCATTGTGTCGGTAGGCCCCTGCGCCTCCTTACTGGAACCATGCATCTGCTATAATTTTGTGGCTCTTGATATGACAAAAATATTTCAGCTTTCGAGATAGCTTTCTTGGGATAGTAGTGTGGTAGTTTCTCGTTGCTTTCTACATCCACACGGCTTTAGACCATGTCCTCAGCCTTCAGCAACCTTTTTGATTGCTAGGGCAAGTGAGTGCCCTGCTCTGTGATGCTCCTGCTAACAGCAGAGGGCACCCCAGAGGTGTCCACTTATCCCGGTTCAGAGACCAGGGGGGATTAATAGAAGTCCAAGTGCAGGTAAAAAAAAAAATACCAGCCCTTACCAGGGATTTAACCCGGAACCTCTAGCACTCAATGTGAACACCATGCCTTGATACCACGCAACACCCCCTCCCCCCACTCCACCCCACCCACTCCGGGATGGAGTATCTGCTTGACCGCTGATCGAGTAGCCACGGCTCCCGTAACTTTTTTTCATTTCATGAACCTTACTTTTTGTGAATTTTTTTCTCTAAGCTACAAATAATTTACTGCACATCCTCTGCCTGTACAGATGATTTTACAATTGATAGCGACATTGCCCTATTTAGGCTATGTCCAACATGAGCAGCTGCACAGGGCGGCAAAATTTCCGTTCAAAGAGCGGAAAAATGTCAGTGTCTAAATATTTATTATGAAATCTGTTGGTTGTCATCTTTGCAATACTGGGGACCACAGCATGCACATTTGTTTGATCTGTTGTGTATTGAGTGAAGAGCAGGTAGTTTCATACATTGTGAAGCTACAAGGTAACTAATCCATCGTTTTTGGGGGGAAGTCTGTATCCACTCAGCGAGGCTGAACTTTAGTAGAGGAAAAGGGGGAAGTCTGTATCCACTCAGCGAGGCTGAACTTTAGTAGAGGAAAAGGGGGAAGTCTGTATCCACTCAGCGAGGCTGAACTTTAGTAGAGGAAAAGGGGGAAGTCTATATCCACTCAGCGAGGCTGAACTTTAGTAGAGAAAAAGGGGGAAGTCTATATCCACTCAGCGAGGCTGAACTTTAGTAGATGAAAAGGGGGAAGTCTATATCCACTCAGCGAGGCTGAACTTTAGTAGAGGAAAAGGGGGAAGTCTAT